TAAACTCTTTGTTACTCTCTCCCTCTCCCGTTAAATTATTCATGTCAAGAAGATGCTGTGATTCTGTGACACATACTATCTCGTCTTGTAACTGTAATCGGTTGTTGTGTTGAATCTAGTTGTATCCAGTGAGCAACGTCTCTATCTTTCTTGATTTCTTACCTTTTACACTGCATAGTCCCTGAAGTGTAAAAAAAATAATGCCCAGGGTGCTGTCTGCACTTGTGTATACCTTGTAGCCAGTGGCAGTGAAACATTTTTGCTTTAAAATTCCCTGCCATTCTCTTGCCATTCCTCATAGAAATCAACTGTTCTGTATGTCTTGGACATATTCATTCAGGCCTTGGCTACTGTCATGTCCCGTGTTCATCCAGTCGTACATGAAGGGAATAGGACATGACTGCCTGTAGTCATCTATAGGTAGACCATACAGAGGTGGACAGTGGACAGTGGGATATTAGAGCTCCAACTTTATTACTTTTTAAGCCATTTAATGGTGTTCTAGGCAAAACTGGTCATGAGGTTACATCTTAGTTTGTTTTTCTTAAAGTGAATGAAGGGCTTTTCCTACAGTGAGCAAACAGCAGTGGTGAAATAAGCATTCAGATCCTTTACACAATCCTTTACAAGTAATAGTAGCAATACCACAATAGCTAAATTTACTTAGAGTATAGAGATTAAACTTTCAGTAAAATTTGACACTAAAATCTAAAAAAGTACTTGTGTAGAAAAATGGCCCCTGTGATATGTGTATATATATATATATATATATATATATATAACACTGATGCATTGATGTATGATCAACCAAGTATCATTTTACTCTTGTGGTTTGTCAAGGTGATGCTATTTTGACTACTGTATACACTGTTGAGTGGTTTAATCTACAAATTGAATTATATAAAATGGTCATATGTATGTATGATGTTAATCTCTAATCCCTAAATATGTGTAACTAAATGTGTTAAATGATGTGAAATAAAAGGTACAGTATTTCCCCTGCTTCCCCAAAGTTGTGGAGTAACTCATGTACTGCTTACTTGGATTTGTAGTTACATTCCACCTCCGGTAGTCATATATTGTGTGCAAAAGTAGCAATACATCATTGTAAAAATAGTCCAGCACAAGTAAAAGTCAAATTTTTTGGTACATGTATTGTCAGCAACACATACCTAAACTAATGGCTGTCACACAGGTCCTGCTTTTATGACCTGATATTAAAACATTTGCTTGACTTTAAGGCAGAAATCAAACTCAACACACAACAAACAAACCTGCATATGAATAGTGTACACTTTGCACAGAGAGGAGAGAGATTGTTGGTTAACAGGGGTCCTAGGGCAAAGATGAGCCACTGGGCAGGGCAATCTGGCCATGTATGGTAGTTTAACAGTACATTATTGTTTGTACATTGGTCATATATTTTGGATTTAATTCTTGTGAATGTGAATGTACCTCGAAATGGTACTAAAGTCATTAAATGTATTTAAATAAATATGAAGCACTGCCATCTGTTTTTGCACAATGCAGTAATTGCTCATGAGATTAATAACAGCGAGGAAATCACATGGTTTATTTGACAACATGGGGATGTTGTGAACTTTCAGCCCTCAAATGTAAAAGTGAGCTGTGATAACGCTGCATCCCTTAAAACTGTGGGAAAGGCTGCAAGACATGCTTCAAGTGCTAAGAGTTCTAAACATAGGAGATCATCATCATTAAGCAATTCTCTTTGAATTAGCAGAAGGGTTAAGTAAGAGAGAGAGAAAAAAACACAGAGCAGTTTAATTTGTACCATCTTAACTTTTCCTGTCGCTAATAAGTGGGGGGAAAACACACAACTTTCAAACTGTAGCTTTAATATGGTAATCGTGGACCAGATTCATGTTTCAAACAACAAAAATAAATGTGCTCTACTGGCATAAGATGGTAAATGATGTTAAGCTTTACTCAAATTGTTTGCTTCATTTTTATTTGGGTCATTTGGAATTGTCCTGTAAAATCAGAGGTGCACAGCATTTCTGGCACAAATAAAAGAAACTCTTTCAATACACAAACACATTATTTGAAATACAGTATACCCACTTCAGAGGCTCACACACTGGTGTCCGAGATGGATGATTTATTTAACTTTCTTCCTATGCTGTTTAGTGTGTAACATCAAAACAGCAGCTAAACAGAATAGGGCTGAAGGTATAAATAACTGATGCGATGACCTGATTTTGTAATGAGCAGTCGCTGCTTAACAACATGAATGTTTAAAATGATCAATATTACCAAACGGTCCAGTGAGGCTGCAACTCTACCCATAACCCGGGGTCAAATATCAAGAGTCAAATGAGGAGCTTGTACTGTAAATGAATTCCTCTCCCAGTGCAGACCTGCTGGAGAGCGATAAACTAGAGGAACAGGCACCCTCACATATATACACACATACACAGGGCCTAGCAGGGTTGTCGAGGAGTTAACGTCCTCTCTTCAGACCACCAGAGGCAAATCTAAGTGTGCCTGGATCCCACTTGGTTCCCACCAGATAGCGCAGAGCGAAATGCAGCTCTCCACCCTGTAGCCATGCAAGTGCTAACATGCAGTGGAGCGAATGCTCAATTTAGGGGGAAGAGGATGAAAGAGGGAATTCTGTGCTGGAACTGGGGCTGGTGGGAGATTGCGAGGGGGATTTTTATTGATGCCCTGGGTGACTTTTTATGCACACAAGCAATAACCACCAAAGAGTATAACAGCTCCAGTAAGACTTACCAACAAACCCAAAGTACAGCCAGAGTGCTGTAATGACTTCTGGTCATGGAAGGCTGGAGAGCTTCCTTTTGTTTTGCGCATGGTGGGGTGTCAGCAGGTGTTTTACACACTCTGGTGAATAGACATGGTGCATGTGGAAAAATTGATTCATCACCAGAGAACTGTCTACATGCTCAGGTGTTCCTACTCCTTCCCTGGCTTACTCAGCATATTGATTTAAGACAGTATAAACAACCACCTGCAGTGCAAGCTTGAGACATACCGTCCCAAAGAGCAAGAAACGGATCATTTGAAGGACATGGATGTGGAGGAGAATAGGTTAAAGGAGAAACTACGGTGGTCGTGAAACATGTGAAAAACACAAATGGCCCTATCTACAGCCAGTGTTTGGTTTGTCTGTTCTGGGCTGCTGTAGAAACAAGACGGACTCTACCAGCGGCATCTAGATATAAAAGGTAAAGAACCCCCATAACAATTCCTATATTCGTGTGTTTATACAGTAATGAAAACATACCTATGGATATTATGTTCCATTTCTGCCAATAGGTCCTCCTAAATGTTACACACTGGATTTCAGATCAATTAAAATGCAGAATGTGATGAAACAGTGGTTAGATATGAGACTGATGCCAACACATTACAAATTAAGCGCCTCAGTGTATGTTATTCTGGCCTTAACCAAAAGCCAGACACAATAAAGAGAGCAGACGGGCATCGCATTCACTATCAGCTCATTTCATGCCTTCGCAAGAGACTGAGCAATCACACCTGACGGATTCTGGACAACAAGCCTTTTGAGATGAGCCTTGCATTTTGTGCAGCATGGCAAAACAGTAATTGCCCTCCATGTCAGGCTGTGTCATTAAGTCAGAGCGTAGGGAAACATGCCATCCGGTTACAGCGATAGGACACACAAGAGGGGAAAGGCAGGCTGTTCGGCCGGCGGAGACCTCCACTGATTGCCAAATAATTCAGCTGTTTACAAAGTGGAGGGATGGTTGAGAACACCTGTGTGAGTGTAGTGGAACTGTGAGGTGACTTTGTCAGGTGGATTATATTGAGACGCTGGCAAATCACTGTGATGTAGAAAATATCCCCCTACAGATGATATGGACACCAAGCACTGAGATGGAAAAATACACGGATATTCAAATGCTTGTTTTTACCCTACTACTGTAAGATACTATCAAACAGCTGTACAATGAAAATCCATGGACCCAAAGTGGTCCGTGTCTGCATTGCAGTGGGTCAGTAGAAGATATTTAAATGTACTTTTAAAGATGTTTGCTCATTTACAGTGGTCATAATCAAGCTTTTTATATTAATAAAGGATCACAAAACTACTTGTAAGTGAAAGGGGTCGCTAACAAACCAATTACCACCTGACTCTGCAATTCCCCTCAGCTCTGCAGTGTTAGAGCATCTTTTGGCTGAGTGATTTGGTTTTCTGGCCTTTACTGGCTCTCTCTCACTGCTCTCATGAAAACTGGTTCCAGCTGCAGCAGGTAGCTGTTTTTTTTTTTTTTTGCAACAAAGTTTCAGAAACCCAGTGTATACCACAGGACCATGCAAGGTCAGTGACTAGCTGGTGAACATAGTAGAGCATTTAGCGGCTGAAGAGCCATATATTTCCCCCAATAGTTGGACCAAAGACCAAAACCAGAGCTAGAAGATCGCCAGAAACACAGCTCCAAATAGATGTTAATGTTGCTCTGTATTTTCTGGATGTGTAAATAGGCAAGTGTTTGCTCACAAGTTAGCCATATCAATTCACAGGTTGATAATATCAGTGTGTTTCCACTGTCCCCAAGAGGTCAAAATTGCAGGTTCAAAATCAGACATTTACCAATCAATACTAGTAGTAGTAGTAGTACTAATAGTAGAAATTCATGGTCCCAGAGGATAAACCTCAGTAATGGCCTTTCCTTTAGCACTACCATCAGGGATTTTTTCTTCAGCTCATGATTAAATACTGACACTTCCCATCAGGCTCAGCTGTACTTGGGTGTTTAGTGCTAATTACAAAATGTTTGCAGCCAAGATGATGAATATGATAAAGATTACACCTTCTTAAAATCAGCATGTTAGCACTTAGCTCAGCCTTAACAAACTTTTAGCTAAAGACTATTAATCTTGTTAGTAGACCTTAGATGCTAAAGTAAAGGGAAACTCCTAGGGGTAATGTTGATTATCACAGCTACTTTAGCAAATTGTTTGTGTATTTAAAAAATATTAAAGCAATGAACCTTTTCATCAATTTAATAAAAGGCAGAGAACATTTTAATAAAATGCAACACAGTACAAATCAATAGTCAACTCAATGCTTCACATGCAAATACAGTTGAACTAATCCAGATCCTTCACATATGGAGAGGATCACATAAAACGGTCAAAGAAACAACATAAAAACCTCAAAATAACTCTTTTTCAAATAACAAATTAAAGGTTTAATACATAAGATTTTTAAACATGTTATTAGGACAATCTATCAGCATAGCAAGCAGCCTCCATTTCTTGATGACAGTGCAAAAGATGTATTTTTATGAAACTGGCATGACTCCCGGTATGAGGAAACTGTAACTTCTTCAGTCAAGGGATATTAATGATATTGAGCCAGACCTGAAGCAATTCCTCATCAGTTTTTCAGTGCTTGCATTGTTACATGTCACCAGTGCCACCACAGTTTGAAAAGACTTGAAGACAGCTTCTGTGGGTCAACATGAGGCTGTTCTCGAAAAATAACTTAATGATCAATGGAAATAAGACTGGATGGTGTAGAAGAGATTGCCGACAGCACCAGACAAAAATAAAAGTATGCTCCTTTATGACCACTGACTGCCTTCACACACATGCCACATAGTGACAAATAATGTTGGAAAACAGCCAGATGTGTATATGACCACTATTACTGTACTTGCATTTGGTTTCTGTGGAAAAAACTATTAAGTCTGATGAGATATTCTTGGCCACGGAGGACTGTATTAAGGATGGTGTAGAGGATGAAGAAGAGGCCACATGTCAAACTGAACTGAGATGCACAAAATAGGGGAGCAGTGGATGAACGAGTGGGTGGATGGATAGATAATTGAACAGATGGGGGTTGGGTGGGGAGGGGCGGGGTAATGTCTCACGCAGCCGACCGTCGACGGATGACAAACGCTCCCCTCTGCAGCTGTCCCAGGTAGATCCGCATCTTTGTACTGTCGCTAGTCTTCCTCACCCAAATCTGGAGAACGAAGACAGAGACAATCCCTCAACATAAACATTTAGAAATAATGCCCTCCAAAGTAGCTGTGAGACATGTCAATTTAAACCAACATTATCTTCTGCAAGACAGTTGGTAAGAAGACAGTCAAACAGCATTCTCATATACATGTTCAACTAAAAATGCAAGGTAGTACAGAAATAAATTCACATGACATTTTTCTCTGAATGCTCACTGGAAAGACACTTCTTAGAGATAGTCTTGTGTTAATTAGAACAGAAAAAAGTGTTACTGGTGAAACACTAGTAAAATAGATCCGCAGCTGCTATCTCTTCCAATTCTGACACTCAAACAAGTACCATTATCTGGCCCTCCACTGCACAACAAACATTAGGATAAGTGTTATTCTGTAATTTACTATCATCAAAAAAATGACAATAATAAACTTTCTCTTCAATTATAGGTTACTATTGAAGACATAATTATTTCAAAATGGGTCACAAATGTTTAGTTTCTTTTTTTTTTCTTTAGCAAATGTCAAACTGGAGCAAATACTGCACTTATTGGAGAACATTTCCAGCTGCAGATTAATACACATTTGGGGCTCTGGTGAGTATTTACAGCAACATGATGGTGTGTGTGGTATTATAAAATAAAGCCCAGTGCCTGTTTATGGAAATGAGGCAACACATCACCCAGTGCAACAGTGTGGCTCATTGATGTGTTTTTAATGGTTTTGGACAACAATGGAGCTTTATGGCACAGAGGAATAAAATACATCAAGCTTTGGCCGCACAACACTGAGGATGAGGAGGTGTTTTCATGGGACTTGTTAACAATAAAGGGAAATATATAATATTTAGCTTCATCTTTACAGTAGTGCCAGTTGTCTAAATGTGGCAGGAGCTGGATGAGTACTGAAGCTCACCTCATTGGTCCCCACTGAGCTGATGACACAGCTAATCTTTGTGTTGTCCTTTGACTCCAGGTAGATGGCCTGGCTCTTGTGGTACCTGTCAGCATGAACACACACACACACAGAGACACACAGAGACACACAGAGACACACACACACAGTGTAAGTGCCGACAGGAGAGGTTCATCATACATAATTTTACCCAGCTGAATTAACCACATTCCTCTTGAGACGGCACTAAATAGATAATTGGACTGGAAAGTCAAAACAAAAAGTCTGTTTTGTTTTTTTAATGGCTTCAAACTGTCAGAGGACAGAACCAACCCAGGGGAAGAGACTGACAGCAAAAGCATTTGATCATTAAAGGCCCACTGAAGAATAATGACGCATGTGTCTCCCTGCAGCTCTTTAAGATGGCTTTACGGTGGTGGCGTCGTCTTTGGCGACAAATAAATGAGACTTTGCCTTGAAAGAGAAGTGCACATACCTGACAGCTTGCTCCTCTCAACTTTCTCTGTCTATATCAGCAGCTAACAAGACAGAATTGTCCTATTTGTACCCCTCTTAGAATGACCTTATGTTCGGACACACGTCTGGGCATCAGAGCCGTGTCTGGTCGTGGAGTTTCATTCTTTTTGTCTCTGCGTCAATGGAGAATGCGGCCCTGATTCTAATACAGTCTCCTCATCTGAATATGCATTTTTATGGTGCTTTCAAGCACCAGCACTTATTCAGTGGCTGCTAAGAAATATCTTTCTGTAGATAAAAAAAAAGGATGCCATCAAAGTGGTTATAAAATATATTTTGAAGACCAACCAAACACCAAAGCCATCAAACCTGTGGCAATGTGGCCATCTAGTGGTCATTTCAGCTGCAGTAGAGCTATGTGAGAAAATGGCACAATGTCAGGTGAAACACTGTTTAGTCTGAGGAGGAAACTTCAAATTTACCATCTTTTGTCGTAGTAAAGTTTTCCCTCCTCAATGCGGGCCTCATAACGCTGGGAGGGGTTCTCCATGGGCGCAGAGGGAACGTGCTCTGGAGACGAGGGAGACACTGAAGACGGAGAAAGAAGGGATTATTATCATCCTGCAAAACGTCTGTACAAATTGTTTAATGTTTTAAGGAATGGGGAATGTGCTTATTCACTGACTTGTTGACAGGAGGGGGTGATGAAAAGATTGATACCAGTCTCCTGCCTGTCTGTTCATTATGAAGCTACAACCAGCAGCCGGTCAGATTATCTCAGCATAAAGATGGGAAGCGGGTAACCAAATCCACTCACTAACTAACATGTTGTTGTTTGTTTAATCAAAGCAAAAACCCAAGTATAAAAAAACGACATGCTGCAGTGTTATGAGGCGTTATGTGCCGCACCGTTTCTTGGCTGGGAGACTTCCTGCAGTCTCTGCTGGTCGCCTGGCAACCTCTAGATGGTGTGATGACAAAACAAGACTTACTCCTTCCGGCCATGAAACAGTCCAGATTTCTTCCTGATCTTTGGACCAAGACAGGCTAGCTATTTCCACATGTTTCCAGTCTTTGTGCTAAGCTAAGCTAACCAGCTGCTGCTGCAAGTGGTGCCAATTTTCTCATTTAATTTTCTCATAAGTGAATAAGTGGATTTCCACGAATGACGAACATTTTTTTAAAGAAATAATTCAGCATTACAAGTGGACATTAACTGCAAAAGGTGAGCATTGACATACCTGGCCGTTTCGGTGACTTAAGCTGCAAAAGAGAAGGTGTGAAATGTTAGAAACAATAAGGGTTATGGTAAAATAAGGACTCATAATCTATTATCAGAAACACTTACCTTATTAAGCGTTCTTAGATCTTCCATTATCTGTTCATCTGTTAACAAATAATTGAGCTGAGGTTTGAAGAGTTAAGGAAGGCATTTTTAAACACAATAGATGTAGCCGATTCTGACCTTTGACTGAAAATCTATCTTGAGAAAGTACAAACACTACCAGTACAAACAATACTGAACAATGTATTCCTCACAGATTAATGTAAAGTGACAGCTCACTGAAGCCAATCAGACAGTATACGTTTATGTGAAGGATATCTGGTGCAGGTTTTCTCCGTTTGTCTGGTATTGGGACTGGATCATTGGGCCGTCTCCTCAGTTTCCGAGTCATGATAGGTTTTACCTCCATTGAGTCTACGCATGAAAGAAATAATGAGAAACTTTACAAACCCAACAATATCAAATAGTGTAAAAGTTTATGAAAAAGCAAAACCTAAATAATACCTAAAAAGATATTCCACACAGATAATTCAAATAGACAGACAGCCAAATGTAAACATCTACTGTACCTGAATGTCCTAATATTAAAACTCTCACTTCCACCCGCATTTACCCCATTTCTGTCTCTTCCGCTGAGCAAGATTAATAATATGGTTCTGAGTTCCTTACCGCCTGTCAGCTCCATTGTTAATTTTTCGTTCTCGATCATCTTTTTCTTCTCCTCCAGTTCTGCAATTAGGTTTTCCTTCAGTTCAACTTTTTTATCGTCAAACTCCTTCACCGCTGCCTTCTTCTCCTTGATGTAGTTCCTCTCCACCTGCTCTGTCTGCAAAACGTTGAGAGATAGAATGATGGAAAAAGGAAGGACGTATTTCTTATAATACCAAAAAGGTAAAAGGTTAATTCCATGTAAACTACATCAGTTGTTTAGCATGATGAATTATTCTCACCTCAAGCTGGAGAAACAGATCTGTAAAGGGAATGTAGAACAAATATCAGGTCAATGTAATTTCCAATCCCAATAAAGTTTTATTTTAACAAGATAGCTTCATTCTCAAAAAAGAAAAGAAATGCAGCGTTTGTACTTTGTACAATTGGAATTTGAACACAAAAAGAACAAGAAAAAGAGACTAGAAGTCAAGTTGCTGTCAGTTAATTTTGTACCTGCTGGCTACCAATATTCAACATCAAAGATTAAATCAAGGCTTTGGATGTAATCCAGTAATAATATAATGCTGTTGTTTGCAGCACTGTTTATTGCCAATGTTCTCCCCTGGCCGAACAAACCACACTAAAGCAGGAAGCACTCCAAAATTTTAATAAGCTGTGCTAAACAGGGTTGGTGTGGATGCAGAGCACAGTGCCTCTAAATACTAGGGATGGGGATCGAAACCCGGTTCTATCAAGGACCCGGTTCCACTTTTTTCAAAACCCGAAAATCAATAACGTTTGGGCTTATCGATACCACTATCGAGTCTCGTCGT